ATATATATATAATGTTCCCTAAACACATTATTACCTACATAAACATGAATCATTTAGAAAAACAATCATAACTCCCCCACAAAACATGTCTGTTCTAAGCATCACAATAACAATCTGATATCAGACAGAAATATGTCATGATGTTAAACAACAGCTGTCAACTCCATCATGAAGGGGTTCCTTTCCTATTGTGGTTTCAAGATGACTTTTTATACTTTTGTCCACAAGATGATGCCCCAGAGAACTGTATTAAAAAGCTTTGAGCACTGAGTCCTTCAGCAAAGCTTCATTTGCCCATCACTAGCAAAAATAGATTTGTAAAACTAAAGATGCTGAAGAGGCAGCAACTAAATAAATAAATAAATAAATAAATAAATAAATAAATAAATAAATAAATAATCTACTTCCGAGTTGGAACAGAACTCGTGGAATAACAGACCTTGAACCATGAGCGTACAATGCTGACCTGACAAATGAACTGTTGGACAAGAATATAAAGAGACACCAATGAACCTAAATTACAAACACCTGAAAGGGAGACAAGCAGGAACAGTTGTGCAAGGAGCTAAAGACAAAAACACTGGGGAGCAGAATAACACAGACACACAAGGAAGAAAACACAGAATATGCATCATCTAACAGGAAACACAGATCCTCACAGYAATCCACTTTCATTACTAAATTCCTGACAAAGCAGAACTTTAACCTTTTTAGATTCTGATAAACAGCTCGTAAAAACTTTTAGCTGTGAAAAAAAYGAAGAATCTTGAGACTACTCCCAAGGATTGCTGTTTAATCTCTAATCAGCTGGCAGTTCAGCTGATCTTTCCCCCCCCTGAGACAGGCAGTAACTCTGCTGTGTGATTGCATCAGCTCAGTTGGAGTTTGAACATTAAAGTTGACTAATTGTATTCAGACTATTGAACACATGGTAAATGGACTGAACTTTATCAAGTCCCCACGGACTCCAAAGCACTTTACACTACAATCATTCACCCATTCATACTCACATTCACACACTGAACATATACAGATAACAGGAGTCTGGACCATCTTCCAAASTGGTCTGAGAGAAAAGGTTTTCAATACGTACTGAAGATCTTTAGACCGGCATTTTTGGCTATACAATCACAATCAGATAGTTAAAACACATTTTTAGATAATCACACGTTATTTTCATTTACCCAAAACAGCCAGACCTCTGATGTCATCATTAGGGCCTGAGTGCTGTGAAACAGAAAAAGGCCACATTGACCTGATTTTTTTTCTCCCGACAGGAGGCTTTTTTCACTATGTTCTAATGGGTTGAGATGTATGAAACKTATTATTTTTATTCAGAACGAGTGTAAAAATGAGGAGTTGCCAGGATCCAGATGTGAAAGTTAGCTCTCTAGCWCCCTCCAAACATCAGCTCCTCCTATTACTTAAAACACACACTTGTGAAACTTGGTACATCAGTACTTCAGCCCAGTACAAAAAAGTTTTATGGGACCAAAGGAGGTCAGCCATTTTGAATGGRTTGTCAAATTTAGGCAATTCTCACATCAAACTGAATGCTATTTAGGCTTCAAATTTAGGTTGTTATAAGTTGCTGGTTATTTTGAATGGTGTAGGTGTGGGATTTTTCTGGCTACACACATTTCAGGGTCACTGTAAACTGTCCAAAMTTTGTCAAAGTGTACATGATAGATCCAGTCTGACCACTGACCACTGCACCAACTATTGGTAGCATAAAAATGCTTGATTTTGTTTGAAAAAAAAAACAACAACTCATATTCAAACCTTTCATCCAGTGTTGTATAAAATACCTCAAAGTGATACTTGAGTAAAAGTACAATTATTTTATCATAAT